TCCTGCTCCTGCTGCTACTGCTGCTGCTGCTACTGCTACTGCTGCTGCTGCTACTACTACTACTACCACCACCACCCGCACCACCACCACCACCACCACCGCAGCTACAACTACAATTACACAACTACCAATACCACAGCTACAAACTGTGGTGGCAGTAGCAGTAGTAGTAGCAGTAGTAGTAGTAGTAGAAGTACTAGTAGTAGTAGTAGCAGCAGTAGTCGTCGTCGCAATGGTGGTGGTAGTAGTAGTAGTAGTAGTCGTAGCAGTAGTAGTAGTAGTAGTTGTTGTTGTTGTTAGTAGTAGTTAGTAGTAGTTAGTAGTAGTTAGTAGTAGTTAGTAGTAGTAAGTAGTAGGTAGTAGCAAGTAGTAGTAAGAAGTAGTAAGTAGTAGTAAGTGGTAGTAGTGAAGTGGTAGTAAGTAGTAGTACGTAGTAGTAAGATGTAGTAAGTAGTAGAAAGTAGTAGTAAGTAGTAGTAAGTAGTAGTAAGTAGCAGTAGAAGTAGAAGTAGTAGAAGTAGTAGTAGAAGTAGTAGTAGTAGTAGAAGTAGTAGTAGTTGTTGTTGTTGTTGTTGTAACAGTAGTAGTAGTAGTAGTAGCAGAAGGAGTAGCATTAGTAGTAGCAGGAGTAGTAGCAGTAGTAGTAGTAGTAGTAGTAATAGTAGTAATAGTAGTAGTAGTAGTAGCAGCATCAGCAGGAGTAGCAGTAGTAGCAGTAGTAGTAGTTGTTGTTGTTGTACGCGTAGTTGTAGGTGTAGGTTTGGCGTGGTGTAGTGTAGTGTGTAGTGTAGCGTAGCTGTAGTCTAGCGTAGCCACAGTTGCACTTGTAGCTGTAGTTGTCGTGTGGTGTAGCGAAGTGCAGTGGAGTGTAGTGCAGTGCAGTGCAGTGTAGTCCAAATCCTCTTGAAACGTCCCAAACCTGCCATCGTTTTTGCAGTTGCTACGAACCCTTGACGGCTTGCTGACATTTGGCAAGGTGCAGAATCACAAAAATCCAAAGTTCAACATCCAGAAGTGATCCAAACATGTGGTGCTTTTTGCATTTTGACTTCGAAATGTGCTTCGCGACAACGGCTTGCACTCTTTGACTTTGAAAGTCTCAACTTCCGAAAGTGCTCCGAGGCCGTGGTGTTTTTACAATTTTTACTTCGAAATCTGCTTCGGGCCACAGGGGCGTGCACTTTTTCAACATCTACACTTCCAAAAATGCTTCGAAGCTGGGGCGCTTTGCGCATTTGAACTTCGAAACGCGCTTCGCGCCACTGCCTTTTTTGAACATTTCAACTTCCAAAAGTGTTCCGACGATGGTGTATAATGGCGTGTCTTTAGCATGTTTATTTCGACACGCGCTTCGCGCCACAGCTGCGTGCACTTTTTGATCTCTCATTTGCCCCAATGGCTTCACACCTGCTGCTTTAGCGCGTCTACTTTTCGACTCTCCTGGGCCACAAAACATTGGAAAAACATAGTGTTTCACGACTTGTCTGCGTTTCATGCACCTGCATCTCCTTTCTTCTGGTTCTTTCCCTTCTCTGATCTTCATTGTCGGACGTTTGACTTCTAAACTTCCTTGGGCCAAAAGATCGTAACATTTCATTGAAAGTCAAATGGTTCATTCAGGCGCATTGATTCTCTTCAAAATGCCGCCGTACCTATCGGGAACATATTTGCGATGGGTCGCACTGATTCATGCACTTAGGTGCAGTTTTAGGTTGCGCTATAGGTCATCTCTCATATGCCCGTTCCTACAGCAAAATGTTCCTTGCCGCAAGGTCCTTGCCTCTCCGTGTCTCTCTCTCTCTCTCTCTCGCTCTCGCTCTCTCTCTATACTGCCAATTTCAACTTCGCCCAGCATGTGTATGATGTTTCCAGTTCAGAAACTGTTTGGCCGCATTTTATTGTTCAAGGCATTTCTGTGTGAAGTTTGATTAGGCACAGGCAGGCTTGAAAGATGAATGTATTGTTTTGCCCATATGGAACGCTTGGTCACACATGGACCTTCGGTGTTTAGTCACAGTCTGGCAATGTTGAAGGATGACTCTGAGTCCGGGTTTGTGCGAGGAGCAGCATTTTCATATGATTTTTGATGCTGCCAAGCAGGCTGGGTCTTGGGCTCAGTAAAAGCCACTGGGCCACCGTCATTGTCGAAGGGACGTGGGACCGTGCGTGATCAGCATGACCAGAAATGTAGATTGTCTCATTGCGTCACAAGGGGCCTAGGGCTTAGGGGCAACTGGATAGACAGATGACCACTCGTGCGATGCAGCCTACCGAAAAGGGTAAACAAAATGGTTACAGACGGCCCGCGCTTCAGTAAGAGGATGAAGTTTATAGATGAAGAAAGATGAAGTATATTATTCAAATAAATTGAATTCAACTTATTCGGTTGGATCGGGTGTCAAGACTCCAGGAAGACAGGCGCCGGTGCTGCAATTCGTACTCAACTTGTGCAAAATAGTCCGATTTTGTTATTCCCGTTGCACAGGTTGACAATAATTTTGAAGCCACTATATTCCACTGTTTCTTTGCTTTGCCTATTTATATAATATATATATACTATATGTGTGCGCGTGTCTGACCACAAACGCACATTTGGGCGCATAAAGTTGTACGTAAACGGAAGAGTATGTAAACGTGAATGCAAGCGCATCTTGCATCATATGGTAACATTTTGCGTCACATTCTTATTTGTGTGAGTGCGTGTGAAATATGTCTTTCTGCACCCACATGTATGCACAGAGCGCGCGCAAAAGAATCAAACATTGTTTGTGTATGTGTTTGTTGCCTGCATTCCTTCCAAACCCTTGCTCCGTCACGGTTTTTCTTTCTGGCTGCGGGTATGTTCTGGTAAGCAAGAATGGTGTACAGAGTATGGCAAGGTACTGTATGCATTTGCATGCATCATGCACTTGGAACCGCCCATTTGTCACCCCATGATTCAAGCCCCGGCAAGTGCAAAAAGAATACCACGCAATATCGAGCAAGGGTTGCACGCATGAAAAAGGATGAAGAAGGTATTGTTTCCAGAAAAGGCATTTGAAAGTGGACATTATACTGGACGTGTTTTTAGGCAAGCTGATACATTATCAATATCCAATCCTATATGAGTTTTCTTGCCAGCCTCATTCATGTTGTGGTGAGCCCGAACCCTCGCAAAGCAGAATTCATCACACTGTGGCACGGGAACTTTGTCAAAACTGACAAATCGATTCCGGTATACGCATACAAGCAAAGCTCTAGTCCAGAGGCGCGGGAGGGTCGGAGTCTTCTTGCAAAAACAGAGTTGTGAGGTCATGTATGGTATGGAATCGCTTATGGAAACGGTTCTGCCCTGTATTGTCTTTAGCCCTTAGTACAAGGTTGTCAGAAAGGTTTTTAGCAACAAATCAGGCTGCAGAGTGGAACCTGGAAGACACCTGTCGAGTTGAATTCGAATAAACTGCTGCTTTAGAATGGCTTCGTGACTGGCGTAAAGGCAAATAAAAGGAGCAGGGTCAAACTAAAGAAAGTGTTCAAGCCGTTAGGATGAAGGATGTGCAAACGAAAAATCAAGCACCTTAAGCTGTTGATGCACATGATGTACCAGGGTAGCACCAGCCTTGCCAATCAGGCTGCTTAAAAGACAGATGGCTGGTTCTCAACATCGAAGACGGGAAAAACACGCTTTGAAAGAACCTAGCGTTGACATTGTTCTACCCCAGAAATGTTAAGCAGTTTGGTCTTCAGTGGAGCAAGGGTGCTGGGCGAAAATTTGATACCCAGCATTTTGCAAGTTTCAATGTTTTTCATGCTGCTATATTTGTTGCGCATCCCTGCGCGCATTTCCGGAATGAAATGGCTGGGCCCATATTCCATTTCAGAGGGCATTTTTGTGACAAACGGAGGCATTTTGTAAGGAATGTTGCCTAGTCAACCATGCCATTTTGTAAAAGGCGTGTTTTTGGTTGGGCGAATCATTTGGTAAGAGAGAACATTTTTTACAAAATGACGTTCATTTCAGGCAGTGCAAAGGGGTATTGAAATCTTGACCATTCCCAGGAACCAGGTTTTCTTCTCCAAGCTATGGAAAGAAACGTTGAAAAGAACATAGTCAAGCTAAGCTATGTTGTGGTAGATTAGGAATGAAGCCTCGTGAAGATTGGGTGCTGCCGAAGCTTCGGGGGCTGGGAAAAAGGATTGGGGTGTTTCCCGGGGAAAGTGGGATATGTACAAGTTTGACATATCTCCAAACCAACCATTCTATAAGACACAAGCTTCTAAGATGATTGGGTTTGGGGCCTGGAAATAAACTTGGGGCATGCATTTTGTAAGGCACCGATTTTTGGTTTGTTTTTTGGTTCACCGGGGAATCACACCAAGCCTCCAACAAAACCCATCTTATAAATTCCAAACCATGAGACTTTGTAAGCTCAACACCTGGGTACCCAAATACTTGCCCTGACGTCACCTGGTAAATGTGCAGGGGATTGTTTCGCAGGTTTAACTTGGAAAGGTTTTCTCGATTCGATGAACCAAACCGACGGCATGTTAATGCTGAGCATTTGCGCACTTGGGGTTTTAGAAGCGCTTGTTTGCGTGACCTTGGGGTAGTGCTGCGCAGTTTCACTGAGGGTTTTGGAAACATGGATTAAAGCGGATGAGTGTGAACCCACCTTGATGTGGACAATGTGTGAAATAATGCGGAATATACTTGCGTCAAATTTGCAGTTGAGGCTGCGCTGTGGGAATTTGCTTTGCATAAAATCGGCGCAACATCGATCAAAATCGCCCAAGTGCACCGTTTCCATCCAATGTCCACAACATTGGCTCGACTTGAGGTTAACTTCGGCCAGAAAGGCCCCAACTTCGGCCCAGCTTGGACCAATTGGCTCTAACTTCGGCCCAAATTCAAAACCTTCACGTTTTGCTCACTTTTGACAAGGTGCACAATCCCTTGCGCCTGCCACGCAAAACGACATCTGAACCTCCAAAAGTGGCGCGAGCATGTGGTGTTTTGTACATTTTGACTTCGACATGTGCTTCGCACCACAACGGCGTGCATTTTTTCGACATCTCAACTCCCAAAAGTGGTCCGACACTGGTGTGTTTTGTGCATTTTGATTTCGAAATGTGCTTCGCGCCACAACGGCCTGCACTTTTTCGACATCTCAACTTCCAAAAGTGGTCCGATACTGGTGTGTTTTGTGCATTTTGACTTCGAAATGTGCTTCGCGCCACAACGGCGTGCACTTTTTCGACATCTCAACTTCCAAAAGTGGTCCGGACCTGGTGTTTGCACATTTTGACTTCGAAATGTGCTTTGCTCCACAACGGCGTGCACTTTTTCATTTCTCATCTGGCCAGATGGCTCCGCACCCGCCGCTTTAGCGAGCCTACTTTTCAACCCTCCGGAGCCCCAAATCATTGGAAAAACACAGTGTCTCGCGACTTTCCTACCTTTTCCCACATCTGCATCTGCCTTCTTCTGGCTCTTTCTCTTCTCTCTTCTGCTCTTCTCTTCTCCCTGCCTCTGCCCAGCTCTGCTTTTCATCTGTCCATATTGTCGGAAGTTTGACTTCTAAACTTCCTTCGATAAAAATACACTACATAGTGCGACATGAATATGTACATATTTAGTGTCTCTAAATCGTTCTAAATCGCTGCGCTCTTGCATGTTTTATCCTGTTTTTTTTGTAGGGCCGAGATTTTACGCAGATCCTTCGCGCTAGTTCTTCTTTCGCCGCTGTGCTGCGCCCGTGCTTTGTTTCGCAGTGTCTACCATGATGCGTGATATTTAAAAACGAGCACATCCAGTCAAATATAATATAGGCTGCATGGCACATACAGAAGTTGACCCAGATATTTGCATGAAGATTGCGCCGCTTTGCTTCAGGAGATAAAGGGCTGGTTGTAACTGGGCTTCCTCAACGAGGAGTGGCTGACCCAACAAATCTAAGGCAGCAACCACCTCACGCATCCATGCTTGTTCTTTTTTAAAATAACGTGTCATTTCCTGTCAGTACTTAAACCTTGATATTCCGTGAAGCGACCAACCACTGCATGTTCCTACGCCAAAACTGGTGTCAACATGTGTCAACAAACTCAGACTTTGCATGGTGTTCGTAAGCTTCGCCACCGCATCTGCGCACATGTTCCATGTTTGCATTAGGCTGTTGGTTGAAAACCGCATGCACAATAGACCTAAATGCAAGCGCATCATGCATCATGCCGCGTGATATTGCATCATGCATCATGCCGCGTGATATTGCTTCATGTCACACGTCATGTTGCGTCATATGCTACTATTTTGCATCACAGTATGTCTTTGGAATAGGTCTGTATGCATAGGACGCGCGAAATGAAATCAAACATTGCTTGTTTCTGTGTTGGTTGCACGCGTTCTTTCCAGATGCTGGCTCTTCCATCGGCATGTTCTGGTCAAAAAAGAAAACGATGCAGAGAGTATTGCAATGCGTCGCATGTATTTGCATGTGTCATGCGTTTGAAATCTTTCATTGTCACCGCATGGTCTTCCAGGCAAAGGAGATGCTCTTGTGGTGTGTATGTGTGTGTGTTTGCCTGTGTTTGGTGGTCACCAGGAATCTAGTCCACCTGTGAACAGGCTGGCTGGCACAGACCACCTTTGACACGCTGCGACCATATGGGCTCGTGACTCAAAGGGAACAAGTGCTTTCTTTGGTCACTGCTGTCGACAGTGACTTGGAACTCTGGAACTCCAAGGATTCGGAGTTGTGCAAGGGGAGGACAAGAAGAAGTTCAAAACAAGGTCGGCTGAGACTTGAAGTTGTTCAGTTGCGTATGCTGGCTGCTGGCGTTATAGGAAAACCGGTGCCCGTGTGGCCTGGGAATCTTCCAAAATTTGGGGTTTCGTTTCTTGAATCAGGTCCGGAGAGACTGTCAAGCTTGGTGACCTCCTGAATGAGGTGCCAAAAGCTGGTTAAGCAGATCTCCCCGGTAGAGGGATGGGAGGTGTTGTGTAGGACACCCTGGGAGTGGCTGCTGATTAAGGATATTCCCGGCTTGCAACTCTGAGGGGTGTTGTTGAACAACCCTGGGGTGTCCGTAGGTTTGGTTGTTGTTGAACAATGACGGGTGCTTGAAAATCGTGGCTTCCCAAATGGCGCAACTTTTTTTTGGGCAAGATTTGCAAGACTTGATGCGGCAAATTTGGGTGCAAATTGCTATTCTCAAGGCAGACACCGAATCTAGATGTGCTTGTTTGATCTGATTTGAGGTTGGTTTCGTTTTTTTTTTAATTGGTTTATGGCTTGTGCTTTATTTGTCTCTATTTGGGGGTCTTCATTTTACTGCTGTTTCGACATGTATTTCAGGTTCGGCTAAGATTTTTTCAAGTTATAGATCTTTATAGCTTATTTAGGCCTAGGCGCTTTCATTTACTGCTGTTCTGAAGCTTATTCATCTATAAACCGTTGGTTTAGAAAAGAATTATCGAAGGACGTTTAAAAGTCAAACTTCCGGCTTATGGACAAGTCCCTTGGTATCCGCCGCTCTGCCGGTGGGTTTTGCGTGGCAGGCGTGGGACTTGGTGCACTGCCAAGGGGTCGGATGTACGCCCTGGCGTCCCTTGGTCTCCGCCGCTCTGCCGGTGGCTTTTGCGTGGCAGGCGTGGGACTTGGTGCACTGCAAGGGGTCGGATGTACGCCCTGGCGTCATTTGGTCTCCACCGCTCTGCCGTGGCTTTTGCATGGCAGGCGTGGGACTTGGTGCACTGCACAGGGTCGGATGTACGCCCTGGCGTCCCTTGGTCTCCGTCGCTCTGCCACCTCACACACATACACATACGTATAACATCCGCATGTATCCCCGTGGCAATGTCCACTCTAGAACTGGTGAACCTGTGCATAGTTTAAACGATTTTTTCAATGTATTGGAATTTTAAAATTGATGTCAGGCTAGTCATTTTATTGTTGGGGGGTTGGTCTGAGCATTTTATTGGCAAGGTAAATCCTGATGATTTTTAACATGTTAAAATTCCATTCTCATTTTATTGCAAAAAAAAAGTCTGTTTGGAGCATTTTATTGCAGAATGGAACCAATGCTTTTCCAGGATCTTTTTATATCGATTTTATTGGGCATGTCATTTTAGATCAGCAAATTTTAATGATTTTGAAGGAATTCTAAGGAATTTTAAGGAATATTAATGAGATTTAAAGGAATTATAAGTAAATTTAAGGAATTTAGAGAGCTTTAAGGAATTTTAAGGAATCTTAGAGGAATTTAGAGGAATTTGAGGGAATTTGGAAGGATCTTTAATGTTTTTAAATTTTAAAGGATATTTAAGGATTTTTTTGGAATTTTAAGGAGTTTAAATGATTTTTAAGGAATTTTAAGGAATTGCCACGAAAGAATGCCACCGTATTTTGTTGCTATAAAATGCTATAAAAAAAAAAGACAAACACTTAATATTTGGGCACCTTCACTCTAAAATACACCTATCTAAAAAGAATTTCCTGCCCCCTTTTTAAGAGGCGTTTCTGAGGGTCTTCGAAATTGGATGAAGTTGGATGCAAACTCGGCATGAATTTGCTGGCAAGGCATTTTATTGCAGAACCAGTTTTCATTGTTTTTGTGCATTTTAAAGCCTGAGGCCCTATGCACAAAAGTTAGATCGCTCTAAAACTCCTGCACAGCTTCACATAATGAAATGGAACCCCGATCCGCATGTAATCACATGCATATATTACAAACTGCCTCTTGCACCCGGTACACATATTGTTAACACACTACCAAAGTGACACACCTGTACATGCACATACATACATACATACACACAAACTCACCCACCATCACCCCTCCATCACTCTCATACTTCCTCTTCCCTTGTTGCTTTTCTATGCTCAGTCTAAGTCTGATGAAGTTGTTAACATGTGGGGTTATCGGGGTTATCCGGTCCTATAATATTTTGAGCTTATTTTTGAAACATTGTCGCAAGCAAAACATTCATGTTTCTCCAAAAAAACCATTGAGTTGGCATGTGTGCAGTTCCATGAACCGCACCAAAGAGGAATTTGATGCTGCTGCAAGGCCACCTTTAAGAAAATTCATTGCTGATCCTATAATTTGTTTAAAAGCGGCTCAATGAGCCGCTGCGGTTATAGTAAAGCCAGGCCATGATTTGGCAACATCAGCAGTGAGACCTGTGGACACTTTTCAGCCTGCTTGGCGTGCGCAAAAAAAAAGTGTGGTTTTGTGGGACGTGCATCCCCTTCGATTTGAATCACTGGGGCCCATTGTGCTGCACCTGCCAAATTTTGAATCACAGATTATAACATATGTGAACTGCTTGATTTCCACAATCGCGGCCCATTTGACCGCATTTTTGGTCAAACAAAAGCCATAAAACATAAAAAAAAAACTATTGACTTTCAAAAACCTTTGCCCCAAAACCTGAGAAAAAGATGGAATGTATAGGAATGTATAGGAATGTATAGGAATGTATAGGAATGTACCAGTAGTACCGCACAAGGCGGTGGCGGAAGTTTCACAAATAGGAAACCTATAGGAGAGGTTGGTTGTTGTGAATCAGGGATGGCAGAGCGAAGCCACTGATGGACTGAAAGGTGCTTGATCTCTCTCACTCTTTCTCTCTTTTTCTTTCTGTTTCTATCTTTCTCTGATTATCTACCTACCTACCTACTGATCTATCTGTCTACCTATCTAACTATCTATCTATCTCTCTCTCTCTCTCTCTTTCATCTGTCTATCTGTCTATCTGTCTAGCTGTCTACCTGTCTATCTGTCTATCTATCTATCTCTCTCTCTTTCATCTGTCTATCTGTCTATCTGTCTATCTATCTATCTATCTATCTCTCTCTCTCTCTCTTTCATCTGTCTATCTGTTTAGCTGTCTACCTGTCTATCTGTCTATCTATCTATCTGTCTGTCTGTCTATCTGTCTACCTGTCTATCTGTGGTGCAGTGTCATTCAGTGTAATGTAGTGTAGTGTAATGTAGCGTAGTGTAGTGGAGTGTAGTGGAATGTAGTCCCCTCCCGGAGTGCTCTTGGCTTTTGAGCGGCGGAACACCATTAAGCATCTGCAGGGCCCCACGGTCCTTCCACGCAACTTCCCCCACACCCTGCCTATCGGAACAGTCTCGTTACGGAAGCAAAATGAAATAGAGCATTGATTAGATGCAAATAATGTGCAAATATAATTTAATGAGCGATGCGCGTAAAAGCCGATGACCGTTCGGTGACCGTCACATTGAAGAGTTGGTGGCACATTTCTTTGCGAATATTTGCGGCGGCATGCAAGGCTGTGCAGCGAGCCGCTTTGGTGACTTGGCAAAACGAATCGCTAGAGCTGACAGGTGTCCAAGCATCACTAGTGCATGCGGTGATACAGGAGATCAACAAGAGGGTGGAGGAGCAGCAAAAGGATGGTGGTGAAGCATTTCTGACAGATTTGGAGGAGCCATGAGAGCCTTGCTCGGAATTTTTTCAGCACATTACCGGCCCAAAAAGGTGTGCTCAGCACAGAACCGTACATTTCGTTGATCAGCCTGCAGTTTGTCCCGGCAGGAACAGAAGGACGCAGCTCAAAAGATTGGAATAGCAGCCGTGCGATACTTTGATATGAAGCAGCTTGGGGCTCAGTCTGACAGTTTCGTGGCTGAATATGACTTGTTTTGAGCGGCGCGTGCTAGTCCATGCTCGTAACTAGCTTCTCTGCAGTGCTTCTGGATGCTCCTGGTATTGCACAGCACCTTCAGGAACAGGACCAGCAATTATGTGTTCAACTGGGGCAGGATGTTGGATGCCAAGGCCGAACGCATGCCGCATGTATGTTTAAATCACGCGCGGTTTTTCCGTGATCTTCATAGATAGAACTTTGGACCGTCTTGGTGCACCAGGATCCTTGTCCCTGCTACGCTGCGCAGGGCAATTCAGCAGTATTCCTCTTCTATGCCTATGCAAGGATTCGAGTTCAGAACCCGGTGTTGAAATGTTGGTATAGACCGCAGATACATGTCCGCAGGACCGCAGTACATCATAATTTCAATCATTTATCCGGTGGCCCGCTGATGCAGCTGAGTCCATTCAGCGCAAAGCGGGCATCGAGATTGGCAGCATTGACCAAAATCGTTTGGAGGCCGCAGATGGGATGCATATTAAATTGTTGTGAGAATATGTTCTTATATTGTTCTTATTTCACAAAGCTGTCCCATGTCAATCTGACATGCCATGGCTTCAGCACGGGTCAGCGCAGCTGCATGGTTTCAATCAGGTGAAACATCCGGCTGAAAGAGATCTTGCGCCGAAGCCTTGGTTTGCCTAAGGCACCCCAAATATTACCAAATATTGTCGCATTTCAGCTCCCTCAGCTACATAAAAATGAGTTGCACAGGCCAAGATTGCGTAGACTTGCCACGCAAAGAGTTCATAGTGGAGAAGCATTGGTTTGTTTTTCTGCTCGGATCTAAAGAAGCAAAACTTCAATATTGAAACCGCATATGGATATTGACGAATTTGGCATTGGCTCAGCAAACCGTCTGGCATCGTGGTCGCAATGCGGAGTTCCCAAACGGAAGGGAATGTGTTTGCTAATTGCAAGGCGGCGCCAGATCTTTGCATGGTGAGCACGATGTAAGACACATCAAACATCAGCATGTTCTCTCAAGCAAGCACTAAACCAAGCAATGGTTAGTACTGGCTTTGTTTTTTTTGCTTCATGTGCTTGCGTAAAACAATTGCTATTGGGTCGGCATGAAAAGATATTGCGTAAAATGATACGCTTTGTTTTGCTTAACGGGCCCGGAATAAACGTGGTTGAGTAGCACGACTTTCTCACGGCTGTTAATGGATTTGCTTGAAACATCCTGCGTTGGAAAAATGTTTCCTGGGCCGGGATGACAATGTACTTCTGTAGGGATGCACCCCTTGAAAACTTTTCTATTTGGGGCCTTTGCCGGCGTAATTTAGTTGAGCTTGGTTTCAGTTTTAATTTGACCCTTATTTTAATCTTAAGTTTCGCTTTGGTGGTCTTTCGCAATACTCTTATTCTAGTTACTGTAGCCGACCCAATTTCTAATCTATCTTCATAATCCGTGTCATGCATCCAACAAATCTAATTTCTCCGACCTACCTACTTCATCGAATTTATCCCATCTATCCAATCTGTCCAATCTACCCCTTTCATCCAATTTATCGAAAATGTTCAATCGATCTCATATATCTAACCTATCAAATCTGGTGTGTCTAATCTGTTCTAATTTGTATAGTCCATCTGATGAATTTATTTGCCTGTCTATCTATTTATCTTTTCTTGTCGATTCTTTTTTTCCTTTGCGACAAAGCCTTTTTTCTACCTATTTTGGAAAGCGCCTCTAACAGTAATTCAATTGAATCCTACAAGGCGCGTGCCGGCAGTTAAGGCCTATGTCTCCGCAACCCTTGAGCACCCTGCTTTAGGCACCTAAACCATATTTCTGCCACGTAAACCCTATTTTTGGAGAGGCTTTGGCCTTATTTTCTAGGCCCTTAAGAATCTACTTCTTGGAGATCGTAAGTCATACTTATAAGCCTTAAGCCAAACATTTTTGGATGTAATGTTTGGCGATTTTTGGAGATGATTTTGGAACCAATTTGAAAGTCAAGCTGTTGCTGTCATTGGTTGTTTATGCTCACGGCCGCATTAGCGACCCCAGAGGAAAGTGTTATTTTTTACGCTGATCGTGGGGGTTGGGGTGGGGTGGGGTGGGGTGTTAACGTTCATGTTACGCTGATGATGTTACGCTGATCATGGGGGTTGGGGTGGGGGTGGGGCGGTATGTTAACGTACATGCGGTTCAAAAACGCTCTGCACTACAAGATGCAGTTTTCAACATTTGTGAAAATTCGAAGCTTCCCAAACTGACGGGAACACGATGCTTAGACCAGGCATGGAACCAGTTGAAGAAGTTTGTTCCTAGGAACTTAGGTCACGAGACTTGAGAAGCCACCGCGACAATTCACGGCTGACAACGTACGTTTTGGCTTTCATGCTCCGATGGAACGCAAGGCCGCACTTGCTAAAAGCAGTTGGCTCTCTTGCGAAGAAGGCATCTCGCTAGAGTAGAGGACCAAAAAACGCTTATTTTTGGGAAAGCTGTGTGTTCGAGTCGCAGAGCCAATGGGATTTACGAAAATGAGGCTCAAACCCATGGTAAAAATGGGACGTTCTGAACACAGGTTCCATCACGACCTTACAAATACATATGCAAAACGCAGCACTGAATCCTTGAGACTCATGTCGAAGTGAGTAAATTACCCAGGGTCGTTAACACGGCCGCAACCTTGTTTATGGATAGAATTAACAACTATTTTGATCTATTTTGGCATTAGGCTGTCTAAGCGCTGCTGTCGCAATAGTAAATCCACCTTTTAATGAAAGAGAGAAAATCTATTTTGTCCATCGCTAAGCCCTGTTTTAGACATAGGTAAGCACTAGTCCTGGAAAAGGTAAGCCATCTTCCTGATAGACTACGCCCTATTTTATATGTTTCATGGCCCCTTAAAAAGTTAATTGCATGAGGAAAGTTCTAATGACCATCCATTTTCTTACTTTATTGTCTTTTTTCAATCTATGTATCTGTTTGTTTGTCTATTCATCTACCTATCCATATATTTGCTCACCCGCTTGCCTCATCTATCTGTGCTTAACGTGACCTATTTAATCTATACACCCGTGAAATCTAACAAAGCAGGATTCAGCTCTGGCACCAACTCATTAACATAGCATCCGGTGCCGTTGATCGCCCTGGGGAAAAGGAATTAGGTAGATTTTGGGACCATTGGGCACCAACTCATTAACATAGCACCCGGCGCCGTTGAGCTAATAATTTGCATTCCCCAGGAAATGGAGATCAAAAAAATTCGTTGGGTGCTAACATGGCACCTGAAAAAGACTGACCTAGCTAGAATCCTGGAAGGCAGAAATGCTATATTAGCATCAATTTGCTCAGAAAACATGTCCATACCCCTCACAGCACTATGAAAACTTGTTCTTGAACATGTTGTACAGCTGCTATGTTAGGTGCTCATTGCTTCCCCATAGCTCATTCCATTTGTTTGAGCTGGCAAAGGTCTGGAGATGCTATGTTAAGCACATAATCCCTTCCTCCTAATATTAAGCGTCCCCCCTAATAATAAACACGACTGGTAGTTTTTAGTATTAGGGTGGTATTTATTTTTAGGGAACTCTATTAATCAAATTAAACCCTTAATAATAAAAACTAGTTTGTTCGATTTCAAAATCAGTGAAATTAACCTTTATAACGCAATTAAAATATTACCAAAAATTGGATTTCGAAGCTTCCCCCTAATACTAAATTAAAACCCTTAATGATAAAAACTAGATTGTTCGATTTCAAAATCCGTGAAATTACCTTTTATAACGCAATTAAAATATTGCCAAAAATTGGATTTCGAAGCTTCCCCCTAATACTAAATTAAACCCTTAATAATAAAAACTAGTTTGTTCGATTTCAAAATCAGTGAAATTACCCTTTATAACGCAATTAAAATATTGCCAAAAATTGGATTTCGAAGCTTCCCCCTAATACTAAATTCAAACCCTTAATAATAATAAAAACTAGTTTGTTCGATTTCAAAATCAGTGAAATTACCTTTTATAACGCGATTAAAATATTGCCAAAAATTGGATTTCGAAGCTTCCCCTCAATAATAAACATCCCGGGGTTGACTAGTTTTTAGTATTAGAGGGGAAAACCCACAAATGGTAGCTTTATTTTTAGATGGTTTTCTAAAGGGGGTCAATTAAAAGTCAAATTGGCCAATCTGAAATTTTCCAAAATTGGAGATGGACACTGGTTTTTAGTATTTGGGCGGGGCTTAGTAATAGGAGGAAGGGATTAGTTAGTTGTTCTCTTGGGGTGGGTGTCCTTCCCAATCACGCACCCCAACCCCCTGGCGTTCGTGCATTCCACCCTAGAATGCTGTCCGTTGGTGGATTCCCCTAGATGTGCATTCCACCCTAGAAAACTAACTTAACAATTCGGGGATGAGCCCTTACGGAGCCGCGGCAGATGCCAGGTTAGCATCAATCTGACCACATGAAACTGATGTCGTGCAGCTGCTATGTTAGCTGTTTGCAACGAAAAAATGAAAACTAACATATTGCAAAAAAAAACTTTTCTATTTTTTGCAACAAGATGGTTTTCACGAGAGTATGTTTTAAACATATCTATTTAACATAGTCTGTCTTTTCTCATGTGCTTTATTCTACCCCGTCCTTTCCTATCCTATTCTATCATTCTATATATGCCTGTTTTGCTTTCCTGCTCGTCAATTTCGTCATCTATCTGGCAAGCATTCTCTCAATCGGGACAAGAGCCACCCCAATTGCACACAAATCAATCCGCAATTCATTCACCCACTTGGTCGCGCAAGCGTGTGCCTCATGCAAGCAGCCCTCCATAGTCAGATAACTTTGCGGACCTTGGAAGTACACCTGGGCCCCGGTCTTGAGGGCCGCAGGCCACGTGTGCATTTGGTGCTGTCATGTGCTGTCTTGTGTTTGTCAAGAGTTTGCATGTTTGTCAATGTTTCAGAACAGCTCATGAGATTTTCAATGCTTTGATGGTACTCCAATGTTGGTATCCCCGTCAGAAAGTCCATCAAGATCTGTCGCCTAAGACGGCTGCACGCTCTGAGGCTGAAGTTGCTTCAGTTCCCAGACGTCATTGAGGCCTGCTGAAAGATTTATACATATATATTTATATATGCGTGTATAGATATATATATATATATATTATATATATATAGTATATATATATATTATATATATACTATATATGTATATGCATTTATAAATGCACGTTCCCGCTTGGAGTTTTGCCCACACAGGCTTGCAGCATTTTGCGTCACGATTACTTACACATCAGATTTTCCTCATACTGTCCGTAGATAAGAGTTCAGGCGATTTTGGCCGATTTGCATTTGCACCACCTCACTGACTATTTGTGGGAGCACTTTGGAAGCAAATAGGCAATCCTTGCCAAAGCAGGTGTTGGAAATCAACGGTTGCAATGTGGTCATATGTGTCATAGCTGGTTTTTGCTTGGGGCTTAACAAGTGAAGACGGACATCCAAAGAGCCGGACACAACCAGCCAGATAGGGAGACTAATGAAGGGAGACAAGTGAAGAAAGACATCCGGAGAGCCGTGCGCCACCAGCGAGACAGGGAGACACATGGAGGGAGACATGTGAAGACAGACATCCGCAGAGCCGGATGCCACCAGCCAAACAGGGAGACACATGGACGGAGACAAGTGAGGACAGACATCCAAAGAGCCGGACACCACCAGCCAAACTGAGAGACAAGTGAAGACAGACATCCGAAGAGCAGGCAACCATGAACCAGAGTGGGAGACAAACGAATGGCCAGCCAGACTGCGAGACAAATGACGGGAGACAAATGAAGACAGACATCAAAGAGCCGGACACTGCCAGCCAGGCAGGGAGACAAATAAACGGACACAAGCGAGGACACCACCAGCTAGACTGGCAGACAGTGGGAGACACATGAAGGGAGACAAAGGAAGAGTGCAATCTGGAGATTGGGCACCACCAGCCATGGAGAGCCGCACCAGCCAGTGGGAGACAAATGGAGGGAGGCAAGTGAAGACAGACATCCAGAGAGCCAGACACCACCAGCCAGACTGGGAGACACATGACAGGGAGCCACATGAAGGGAGACAAGTGAAGACAGAGCCAGACTGGAAGACGAAAGAGGGGGGAGAAGTGAAAGCAGACATCCGAAGAGCCGGACGCCACCAGCCAGGCTGGGAGACACATGAACTGGGAGACATCCACAGAGCCAGACACATCCAGACAAGTGAAGACACGCACCCAAAGAGCCCGACACCACCAGCCAGACTGGGGGACAAATGGAAGGAGACAAGTGAAGACACATCCAAAAAGCAGGACACCACGAGCCAGATGGGAAACAAATGGAAGGAGACAGGTGGAGACACACCCAAAGAGGAGGACACCACCAGCCACACCGGCAGACAAATGGAAGGCAAGTGAAGACAGACAGATACAGACAGCCAAAGAGCCGGACACCACCAGCCAGGGCGACAAATGGAAGGAGACAGGTGTGAGTTTGACCTGTCTAATGTATATTTTGTATAGCCAAGTGATCACATGCCCCGTTGACATTTGGGTTTAGGGCCCTTGAGTCATACCGCGCTGCCGTGGTAAAAGTTGGGCATTTGACGATCCCGTTTCCAATTCATATTGGTAGCGGAGCGGGTGACGACCCGCATCCGGTGGTACGTCAGTGACCCAGGGAACCCTTTGTGAATTTGAGTCTGGTAACTTTGGGAATCAACTGAACTTCGAGTGTGTCGTGGTTCGGGAATCTGTCTGACCCTGACCAGGGCAGACGCTTGTTAACGTTTTTCCTTGTTCGACTCCGAAGGGAGCGAGCATCATGTCGATCAATGGCCTTCGTTTCAATCAGGAACGCCATTCGTCGGCACCACTTGAGACGAAGAGTGGATCATACATCTATGCAGGTGATGCGGCGAACTTTCATGATTGGCAGTTCAGGACTCTCCTTCGGATTCGTCTTTATGAGCAACAATTGGAGGAGGAGACAAGTAAGCCTGCGGATCCCGTTGGGACCACAGCAACAGAGCCTGCCGCAGAAGATGCAGATGAGTATGCTACTTTTCCAGATTTGTCGGGTGCTACTCAAGCAGCCCAGCCTACATCAGCAGTCTCGACTCCGAAGTCTGGAGCGAGCCGAAAATCCTCGAAGTCCGGCAAGCAGAAGACAGACATTGACCGTGGACCATTAGTCAACAAGGTGATTGAAGGACTGAGAGGAGATGCTTTCTCAATAGCTAGGGATCTTGGACTTGAAGTGTTGTCCAAACCTGGTGGCCTTGTGAAACTTGCGGGTGAGATCAAATCCCATGTGTTTCCAAGAGCCCGTGAGGAAGCAAAGGAACTTTTCCGTGCAGGACAGAAGCAAGGTGGTCCTTTGTCTCGCCAGCCAGGCGAACCCATGCTTTCCTATGTTCAGAGGAGACGACGTTGGTGGCACATGCTTTGCGAGTTGGATGACACAATGGTGTTTTCGGACAGCTTGAGGACAGAGTTGATGTTGGAGTTGAGTGGACTCAATCGACAAGAGATCCTCGTTGTGAAGGCCTGTGCAGACACTAAGGATTTTGAAGGTGTTGGCAAGGTGCTGATCGAGAACTACAGTGGCACTCACTTGCGAGAAGGGTCACGATCCTGGACAGGACGTGGGAATCCTCAACAGTTTGGCAAATCAACAGGCAAGGGTTATGGCAAAGGCAAACCCTCTTCGAAGGGATCGTATTCCCAAGCAGCCTATGCAGCCTACCCCGATGATGGGGAGGAACATGCAGAATCTTGGGATGAAGCTGCGGATCAATCCTGGGAGATCCTGGGAGGATGATTCATATGTTGGCATGCTTGGTGACATTGCAGAAGAGGAGCCAGGAAACCTAGAAGGTGACAACGAATTTGATTACTTTGACGACGTCGATGAGTACGAAGCAGTTGCATTGAACAGCTTGCTTGAAGTTGAAGGTGCAGAAGACGATCGACAAGCAGGAGACGCCATCCAGCTACAACTTGCTGCTTTCACCGCAATGGGGAAAGCAGGTGGCAAGGGCAAATCCTTCGGGAAGCCCAAAGGAAAGGGGAAAGGAAAGATCGTGAAGTCCAACCTCACGATCGATCAGAGGAGACGGAAGCTCACAGAGCTGAAGTCGAAGAGCAAATGTTTGAGATGCGGAGTCATAGGGCACTGGGCCGGTGACCCGGAATGTAAATTCCCGGGGTCGAAAGCCGGAGCCCCTGGAAAGTCAGCCCCAAAGCCCGCAGCTCACTTTGCCGACATGAGCGATTCTTCAGATGACGATGGTGTGACTTTGACAGCTTCACCTGATCGTGACAGAGATGGAGTTGCTATGATGGCAGTTCGACAAGCGAAGCCTAGCAGTCGACCTTCACGTGCAGCAGCATCCAGCAGCAACGTTGGCTTGATTTCCCGGGATCTCGATGTTACAATGAGACCCGAGGACCATGGGTGCATCTTTCCTGTTGGACAGTTCAAGGGTTTGTCTTTTTGGAATGTGTTGTTTGAACAGACAGGGTACTATCATCATGCCAAGAAACATACCCCCAAGAGTCCATACTATGTCACATGGTTGAATTGGGTTGACAAGTACTTTGTGGTTGGTGCTGATGGGATTCACTTGCGCGAAGTCCCTGTTGAGCGTGTCGAGCACCGAGATTTGTTGGTGGCTCGGGGAACTGGCAGAAAGAAACCCCCAAATCCTCCTTTGCCGAACAAGTGTCAGGAATGTCGTGAGTTTACAAAACAAGGTTCTACGGGGTACACCATCAGGAAGACCTGTCTTGTGTGCGGTCATTCCGAAACAACAAGGCGTGACATGGTACCGTTGATGTCCCCTGAGAATTGCCCTCATGATGACACCGATTTTAGGGGATCCAGCAAATCAACACACCGTACTTTCTGCAAGAAGTGTTGCACTTTCATTGATGAAGCTCCTATGCAGATTCGCAAGGAGCGTGTTGCCATTGCCAAGAAGGTTGAAACAGCATCAGTTCGAACAGTCCCCATTGTTGAATCATTGGTTGAAGAATCGGATGGATTGAATCCAGTCCAGTTGGAAGAGTTGTTACCCTTGTTTGCCACTCTTGTTACCGAAACCTGCCAATCTGAGGTGATGACCCGTGCACGACTTCATGAACTACTGCATCAAGCCATCAATGACGTGACAGAGGAAGAGGACAGTTTTTCACTTGTCAATGAAGATGGTCACGGCGACCCCTCGGGCAGGGAGTTAGCTGGGTACGTTGGCATTTGTTTGCATGGAAGTGACACTCAATACCCTCAAGACTTGGTTTACATGAACTATGAAACTATTGACATTGCCAAGTCACCCCATGTTTTTGCAGTATTGGATGAAGGTTGCAACCGCACTTGTCATAGCAAAGCCTGGGCAGTCGATGCAGAAGCACGACTGGCCCGATTAGGTTACAGCATGCCATTGAAGGATGACGGTTGTAAGAGTTTTGCTGGTCTGGGAAGTGGTAGTACCAAGACCGAAGGTGTGAGATCTATTCCTTTTTCGCTGCTGCTTCCAGACGGGAACATGCATGGGGAGTTGGATTCATATCAATTGTCAACAGGCAACAGCCCATTGCTTCTTTCATTGCATGCGCAAACCAAGTTAGGCCTAGTGAAGGACCTAGCAAAAGGGGTGATTTCCATCAAAGATCAACCATTGAATATCAAGAGATGTTCCAAATCAGGTTTACTTGTGATGAACTTGACTGAAGGATTGACCAACATCAACAACACACCGTCCAATGAACTTCCCCAAATCCCAAAGTGTCACAGAAAGTACAACATCGCATACACAGCATCCACATCGGAAGTTGCCATGGCTGACCATGACATGTGTGGTTTTCATTCGAGGGACTATGACATCTTGCAGACGAAGTTGAATGAAGAACTGCGCAGTGACAGGAAGGTGATCATCATGACTCGTGGACGTAGATTTCAACAACATGCGTGCAGAACTAGCAGGAACACTTTGAGCATCAACTGTGAGGACATTTACGATCCTGATCAGGACGTAAATCTTAGATCTCATGTGGGTTGGCATCATGGAATCCTTGAGACTATGAGCAAAGTAGACAGGTTCATCCAACATCTCAACAACATCCTCCAGTTTGTCACACAACAGGAAGCCGACAGTAAGGTGCTGGTGGATTTGGAATGCAAGTCGGGTCGCCACAGGTCAGTGGGACAGGGATTTGCTGCCTACAGGTGTCTCAAGGTCCTTGGTTATGACGTTGTTCTCATTCATGCATCATCTTGGATGTGGGGAGAGATGCGTTGTGGTGGAGTTTGTCATGGATGTAAGGACATGGCTGCG